ACAAGTATAAATAACATATATTGGTGCATTTTTGTTTCACAATAAACACCCAAACAAAATTCGAAATGCACATATTTCACTGTTTGACGTTATTGACATTATTGATATTGGGACACAGGTAACAATCTACACAATAGAAAATACGCTGGGGATATCTCTCATTGTAGTAATATGTACATGAACAACAAGAAATCTCTATAGTATAGTTCAAAATAAAGTTTCTTCTCGCATTCGTTTATATCTGAAAACTGAACATTATATCTGCACACATTACATATTCGATTATTTCAGTACCTTCTTTTAATGTCTGTTTTTTATCATGTTACATACAAAAGAGGGCAATGTAGTTATATTCCTCTGGATAACTCCTCGAATTTCATGTCTTTAATATGCATTTCTGTATTGTGCTTGAAGTTCTAATGCAATTTACACTGTATAATTTGATCACAATTAATTTGGTTTGTACATTGTAATGTAAATTTTGTATAATTGTCCAATCTACGTTATTGGATGATAGCAATGGGTAGATATACAATATATCAGATTCGAAAGTATGTATACTTCATTTTAATTTCATTCCATTTCTTCTTTATTTTTACACACCATGATGAAAGCGCTGTATAGATATAACGTATACAAAACATAGAAAAATTAATATCAGAATTATTGAATGGTTAATGTTATTGTTTTCTACAATAAAAGCGGTTTGTGAGGCATACCTTAAAAGGCCTAGCGGCCATCCTTTGACAGGAAAGAAACTGGTTAGCAATGATCTTCAACTTTAAAACGTTGAGGCAAATAATGGAATCTTTACAAAAGTAGCAATCACAAATGAATTTGCATTTGCAGATTTATACATGTACCTGTGTAGATATTATTACATAGGGGATTAATGATTTCCCTTTTACTCATATTACCATGAATGCGAACTTAGGTTTTGTTTCTAAGGCACATTCAATTCCAGTACTTAAAAGTTCGATCGCAGAGACTTTCACAATAACCAACAGGCTATATAAAGATTAAATATTATTATTATTAGTAGTAGTAGTAGTATTGTTCATCATCACCAATTGAGATGTGTGAACGCTATAATGACGTAATACATAATCTGAACATGGTTTATGTGGGCTATATAAGGGGTGTTAAATTAATCTTGAGTTGATTTCTCCAAAATCTTTGTGATCATGTTTCAAGTACTTAAAAGTAGATTATAGAACCTTAGATTAGGATTATGTACATACATGATACTTTTGAAGCCAATACAATCACAATATATTCCAATCAATAATTCACTACAAATTGTAAAAAGTCTATGCAAAAAAAACATCATTACAGAAGCAATAGGAATAGCAAACATTTGAATTCATGTAAAAATATGTATTACACAGGCTCGAAAGAATATGATGAACATGCAGTAAGCTCATAGTAGATATACAAGTACGTAAAAAAAAAAAAAAACTGTAAACAATGGCAAGTAAATGGTAGATTGATGCGCTATCCTAGAAGAGTTACTGCATTTATGTACATCAAGGCAGGAATTTATGAATAGGCGGACTGCTTCGTTCATATTGAGCCAAAAAAACTGCGTGATATTCTACTTAATGTCTTTTTAGCTCCCAAATGTCCAGCGAAAATTGAGGCATGATTAGCTTCAATCACACGGTCTTGTAACTTCTCCGGAACAACCAGTTGTAATCTTGTTGTGAGTTTTGAATTAGTGTCATGGCGTTTGTACATGTTATCAATTGTATATTGCATTTGCATTCTCTTCTCTTGTTCCTCTCTCCATCTATTTCCCTATCACTATGTCTTCTCCATTACCTCTCCTTATTTCTAGCCCTCGGCAACAATATGCCTCCCTTTATACCTCTCGATCCTTATAATTATCTTTCTTCTCTTGTTCCTCTCTCCATCTATTTCCCTATCACTATGTCTTCTCTATTTTTCTGTTACATATTTCTATGATGTGATTGAGATGTTTTAATCTTTTAATCGATTTTTGTGCATATAGTTGAAACTCAATTCGTTAGCGGCCGCGTAGCCGTTATCTTGGGAACGTATTTTTGTGTGTTAAGTTTAGCACCCCTCGTTCACTGATATTCTTTTCGGCCTGTACGTCTTGACATCCGAAGCCGTCATATTGCTGCTAGAGGCATGGTGATGAGTAATCACAATGATCGCGTTTTTTTCGGATCGCGTGCTGCATTTCTGCTGACCAAGAGTGGAAAGAAAAAAAATCGGACACGTGGCCACTAAATTTGCTTCGCCAAAAAAAAAAAAAAAAAAAAAAAAAAAAAAAAAAAAAATGATACTGTTGAAGCAGCTTTCATTCTGCTGCTTCAGCAAATCTTGACTAAAAAAAGATGTCAGTGTACGAGGCGGTTAATTGTCAATAATTTTACAGCATTTCAGTAGCTTTTGTTTTTGCTATTTGTTGTTTTCAATTTCATATATCTTATTGCAACCTGAACAATTATGTAAATAATTAGGTCTGCTTTGACGTTGTATTTCTAGTATTATATTAGTTCTCCTCGACTTTTCGACAGTTACTTGCGTTGTATTATAGTAACCTGTAAACGATACTTTTTTATGTCTTACATAGATTTTCGTTTTACTTTATAAGGTCGTGGCTTCATGACCCCGAATCTTATGTCAAACTCACCAAAACTTTTGAAAACTAGATTACACTGTACCAAGCGATTAAGACTGTGCTGGTTTCTATCACAATGTTACGTATGGGTAGACAAACATATATGCCGTTTTGAAATTTACACATGTCGTCTGTTAAAGTGCTAATTAGGCAACTTCTGCAACGTGCTTTTATTTTGACCAAGTTTTCAGATTCAGATTTGATGTTTGCTATCCCTCATTCGCTTCATTACACGATATGTCAGGATTTTTTTCCTTTAAATTCGTTATATACATTGTAGTGCAAATCTTTTGGTTTAACATGACTGTAATTCTATTTTTTTATCAATCACTGAGGACAGTGACTTTTTAAGGAGAGGGGGAATAGTGTTACGAATTTAGATATATGTCTGTATCATGTGCATAGTCCATTATTATTTCGCTATAATATTATTGCTTGCTGTGCAAGTCAAACTTGTCCTTCGGTAGATTTACGACGTTGTTTTTCGTCCTCGAGTAATTCTTGCAGTTCGATTGCGTAAGCCCAGGGCCACGCTCGTCTAGAGAATCTGTCCTCGTCTTACGTAACGGCAAGGACAGATACTCAGTCGCGTGCGGCCTCCGACTGACCCCGAGCGGAGGCCAGACTTTGTCCTCAGTTTGAGGACAGACTCTGCCCTTTAGCTCGAGGTCGGGTTGTGTCCTTGCTGCTACAAAACAGCTCCCTATATAAAGCCAGGGATTCTAAAATCGAGAGAGTTCGGACTGACTTCTTGAGACTTCTCCTCGTACTCCTTTCTGCCGTTTTTCGTAATTCACTGAACCTGACTGTATACCAAGTTGTCATTATTTGAAGTAATAAACATCGAATGGAACTGAAACTCACGAATACTCCATTTCTTCTGTTGAATTTATATTGCATACACGCATGAGCTCGAGTGAGAGAGATATTGAGCGAGAACTGAACGAGAGCAGTCTGAATTAAACACTTGTAATCAAATTTCGTTACAATATGTACAATGTTTTTGTCTGAAAATACTGCAAACCTATTTTTATAAGATGGGTAGAAGAATCCATGCAATCTAATTGGTCAATTACCATGTAATTATTTTTACTGGATGCATGCGATATCGGCGATCGATACCACCGATATCCTTTTTTTTAAAATAATTCTCTTCTTTTTTGTTAATAATTTTTTTTTCAATACCGGTAAATTTTTTTTTGTATAATTTTTTTTTTGGTGATTATTATTTGTTTTTCGTGTTTTTTGATAAATATAATCTGTTTAAAAAATTAAAAAAAAATCTTTAATTTTTTTTTTTTTTTTTTTTTTTTAAGTTTACAGTTACATGTATGTGCACTGACAATTTTTTTGTTTAAATTTCATGTTAAGTTAAAAATCATGCGTCGGGTAAAAAAAATCATGCGTCCGGAAAAAACAATCATGCGTCCGGTAAAAAAAAAAATCATGCGTCCGGTAAAAAAAAATTACCGGACGCATGATTTTGCCATGCATCCGGTAAATCTGTAAAATAACACAATTTTGTATTTTAAAACAGATGATGCACAGGTTTATTTTGTGGGTCGGTGGAATTGTGTGCACGCGGTACCTTTGAATTTGGTCTAAAACCATTCAAAGGTACCTTGTGCACACAATCCCTACCGACGCACTCAAACCTGTGCATCATTTGTATACTGATAATCAATTTAGGAATCGACTGCCTACCATGTATGGAAGTTTTTACACGCACATACACCAGCATGTATCTTTGTATACTAGTGCTCACAGAAAACTCATCGTAATAAAAAAGAAAGTTGGTAAATTGCGTAACTACAAATTTCAAAAGGTGAATTTGAAAGAAATATCATTGTACAATCATCACACATGATTACAAAATTGTCTGTCATTGCAGGATACTTTAAATACTAAATTAAAGTAAATGTAAGTGAGCCTCAATGGATATGCGTAGTGACAACTGACGTCATAATTGCTCAGTTAAGATAACATACATGATATGAATAGTCACCTGAAGTGGGATTAACAAGCAAATACACATGTTTGTAATTGATGCAAAATAGTTATGATTATGTACCTGAGGCCGATATATAAAAGATAGTAGTGATATTGGCTGGCTCTACTTTCGGGGGAATATGGATATTGAACATATTGCCCTCAAGAGAATCACACTTCTCTCATCTTACGACTTGGGGCAATCCGATTCTGTTGCATGAAATGTATTCTGATGTCCCTCTCAATGCCATACAAAAATGGGGATTAAGCTATGCAACCATTATACTCTCATCTCTCTCTCTTTCTCTCTCTCTATCTGTCTCTCTCTCTATGTATGCACTATATATATATATATATATATATATATATATCATTGGAACAATGTATTCCTCGATAGAGAAGCAAATATAAAAACTGAATTCGCATCTGATGAAGTACCTCATAGGTCATCAATAAGACGAATTTGACCAGCCTTTCTTAGAACACCCTTCAGGGCTTCAAACTCTTTGGCCTCAGTTTGCTTCTTTCTCCACTTTCGGAGCATTGATAGTGTACCCATGTATGATACATCTGCATTCTTCATGTTTGTGTCGACATAACGTTGGATATCTTCTTGCTCGAAGCCGAGAGCCTTCCCGAGATTATCTATCTCATCACGCTTGCCAACTTTTCGAGCAACAGTGGTCAGCTTTTCGTCAAAGTCTTCCTGTCTACCTGTAATGTTCCTTAAATAGGACATATAAAAAAAATGTATGTTAGTATGTTTCTAATTACACATACTGACAACAGACGGGGGGGGGGGGGGTTGTAGCAAAACATCGTAGCCAATGTCTACATGTATATTCAAACACAAACTTGATATTACTCTCCTGGACCCTAATTTGCTTGGACGGGTATTGTGCAACAGAAATTCTTTTCCCTCATCTCCTCTTAAAGGGATCCGTTAACTTTGTCTGAGATCCTTTAACAAAATCCTTGATTTAGCTGATGCTGCAATCATAAGTATACACCTTTATGTCAGTTAGGAATCCCATGACGTTTACAAGCCGATCGCCTATCTGATTATCAAGATATTTATTATTTGAACTTGAAATTTCAATTATAACACTAAAGTCTATTGGGAAAAATGAGTATGGTAAAACCGGTCACTCAAAGACTTAATTTTTTGAGGCACTTCATGATAATTTTTAAGGTACTATGTCCCATTTGCAGGCCAACACAAATGAACAGGTTAAATTCCAACGGCATTTGAAAGATAAATTTGGAAAATAACGACTATTAGTTGTCAAATCGTAGTGGTAGTCTGATTTTTCAGACCATTGTACCGAATGGTCGTACGTTTTATGCTGCGCAAAGATTCAATCAGTTTAATTTTGGCCATCACAAGAAGAGGCTTTTTGATGTAGACAAATGCTCATGCACCCTTTACAGTTCATTTCATGTATGCTATTACCAAAGAAGCAGAAAAGACAGTCAGTCACTCAATAGTGTCTGACAGTGAAGTCTAGCAAGTAAACGGGTTTCCTTGCATAATTTGAATATTAGGATACTGCTAACGTTTACATTTCACAGAAAGGACATACATGACATATTCATAATTCCTGCAAAGTTCTACAGAATTTGATGATGGCTGCAAAAGGGACATAGTATCTTTAAAGCGCAATTCTTTTAGGGCTTCAATATACACAATTGCAGACGCCGATAACACGTAGGACCATGTATCTCAGATTTAACACTGCTAGACAATGCCTTCAATTTGAAATGTTATGATTTTTATTTTGATATAATATCACACGCCCCAATTATGAGTAACAGGGAGATTCAATTACATGTAATATATTTTTGTGAGTGATCCTCAGACTGTTTCAATTCACAGCATTCAATTTTATATATTGGAATATATGATCATAAGATAAATGACCCCAATTGCAGTTTCTCACAGGGTACTCACAGCGTACAATTATATATATTGGACTTGAACAAAATAATGTCCACACTGTAACCATGCAATTTTTGCTCCCATTTGATTATCATTTATTTTGCAATGATTTCTATTTGAAATAATGTTGATTGTTTTGTTGGGGTGGGGAAGCAAACTGGCAACCATTCCTCCTCTTAAGACATTCGTGGTTTCAGGTTTATACCTGCACATGCTCTGATCTCAGTCTGAATCTACCAGCCATGCTGATAGTATTAAAGGTGAAAGAAATGATTATAACTTACTTCAGAGTTTCAGCTGTACTTCGATATGATGCTTGCAGTGTCTGTGAACTTGATGCACCCTGCAACTGTTCTACAAGTTTTTTTTTAAATCAGAAAAGAGTACTAGTCAAATAACGAATTGCTGTTTAAGGAACTGGAAAGTTGTCCGTTTTATTGAAAAAAGTGATCACATTTTACGGTGCATTTTAAGAATTTGCTATGAAAAAAATGCTCTTTCGCTTCTAATCTCGCAAAGATGAAAAAGTTTCATGAGGGTTGCATACATTTTCAATTTTTTTTGTAAGGATAAACTGGCTGATTTGCTTTCTAAAGAATATATAAAAGACGAATTTGTTCCTTTTTATGATAAACAAATACAGCAAAAATTGCTTCATTCACTGTAATAAATCCAAAATAAGATGACAATGCTAGATTCCAAAAGTAGAACACCATTGCTAAAGACGACTTCAACTTTATTTACATTATCAGTGTGGTATTTGACCATCTATATATCAGGGACTTTTACTCCCAAATCTATGATGATGACCGTTGCTGCAAATCCCAAATCACAGAGAGAACATATTGCATTGATAGCTATTGTAAACGACAATCCAACCAACTTGACTCACTATTACACAACTATGAATACCTTGGCCACGAGTTGGAAGACTGGTGGATCTACGAGGAGTTGTAAACTTGAATATACAAAGCAGTTCTTCCACTGATTGTCCTGTCTGACCTACTTGCAAGGTCACTACTATTTTTTCATCTGGCTGGCTGCTCAGGTCCAAGTTGAAGGACCTCGTCCTATGGTGTCCTCTGCATAATTCGTCATACTTGACAGTCTACAAAAGAAAGAGCATAGAATTACCAAAACAATGTTGTTTAAAAAAAAATACATATACATCCTTGTGAGGGATAACTTTAGATACCATGTTTTGGGTTTGATTTTGCAGTAGGTCGCATAATATATGTATAAGTACTATTACGTCTTTCATTTTAGGCATTCCATGTACCTCATTTACCTATTTTGTATGGCATGAGTTATAATTTTTTTAGAAAATTGCTGTATTACGTTTTATATATCCAAATCTTCGGATGTATTATGGTACATTATATTATTTACTTTATGCATTATATGTCATGTTATTACAAAAAGGAAGAAAAGAGTTTTTCTGCTGGATATAATTTTCCTTCTGTTTTGCTATAAACACTGCATTGTAAATTGATTTATATGATATATGTTTCCAAATAGAATATTGATTTGTTACATTAGATTGCAAATTGATTAATGGGATATAATGTGTTTCCAATCAGAATATTGATTCATTACATTGCATTGTAAATTGATTTATATGTTTATAAACAGAATATTGATGTACATCAATGAAGTTTAATAAATACAATACAATATATGTGACACTCTTGAAACCCTTACTGTTGTTTTAATTTCACTGTTTTCTTTGTTTTGTCTTTGTTGAATAAAATCAAATAAAAGCAATCATGACATTCCGTAAATATCTCTACGCTCTAAAACCTCAGGATTTCATCTATTTCCCAAGCTAGATACATGTACAAGAGGGTAGAAGGGGGGGGGGGTTCATGCAGGGCCTTTGCTTTTAAAAGATCTCCATCGAGGAACTAGAAATTGCGGATAAGTTGAAGAGTTAAAAAACAATCTATACAAAATCTGTTTGATTTAGCTTCTTTCTTTTTTTCTTCTTTGTGATATGTTGTTTCCTACTCATTGGTAATTTTGTGAAGAGATATGAATGTTGTTTCGTCCTATGCACTTGACTAGTGCCCCTTGAGCATTTGATTTCAAGTGACTTTGGTGCCTTACTAATCTTCTTTTATTATTATCATACTATTATCATTATTTTCTTTTTTTGATTATTACTATCACTATTATTAATATTGTTTTTATTATCACCATCATTTTTATAAAGAAGAACTTACATGTATGGTATCTCCAATGGGATCACGCTTTATGAAACAAGCCATTTTGACGTCCACTTCTGCCACACTGATAAGAACCTCTGCTTCAGGATGAATATAAACGAAACCTAAGCCTTCCTCCTGGGACATTATCTGTCACAAAACGATTAAACAAAATATAAATAATAGCTAATACAAAGTCAATGGAACACTACCTAGATTCCACTTGCAAGGTTTTTCAAATTTAATTGAATGGCTTGCTCTTAGTGGCTCAAAGTCAGATTTCCCCCTCTTTTCTTTTTCCTATGTTGCTATCTTTTGATCAGATACTGGTATAAATGCATGCAGATAATTATATAGTGAACTGACTTTTCATATTAATTTCTTCCAAGAGCCCATGGCAAAGTACTATTTGATTCACCTATCAAATATGAGTTATTCCATATGGGTTGATTCCACCTTGCATACATTCACTGTTCCTATGTTCCAGAGATTTCCATTAACATTGTGACACTAACCAGAGATGGTCTATAACATTAAATGATAGAGATTGTGATATTCTAAATAGTTGATATTTATCCTTAGGCTTTAAGTTGCTCTGAGACACAAAACTTCATATAAAACGTCTGTCCACAGATTGGCATCAAAAAATGAATTTGCATTAACATTGTGACACTGACTAATTATTCCTTTTACGATGCCAAAGACATTTAGATAATATTCTTGCCTTCATATAGATCCCTTTGATGTCATCATAGAGATGTGCACGTAAGACGACAGTGGTTCTTTCCTCTGGTAGTGGCTTTTCTGTAAATGGCAGGCAACGCATTCGCTTCCCTCCAAAGAAGAAATTCTTCAACTTGAATTTGATGAACGCCCACGAGAAGTGATTCATCTGCAATCTAAGTACATCTCTTTCGATGTTGCAGTTGGGTATTCCAGACTGTGTTAATGAAATTTGTTCCTTCACTTCTGCATCTAATATGAACAGATATGTAAGTAACTATTTATGTATATATACGTACCAAGAATAATGCCTTCATTTAAATTGAGCTATCTATTGTATGCATAATGCTGGTAATCGGAACTACAGTAGGTATTTGCCTATCATACAAGTTCCTTACATTCATTTGAGAGGTTCAATAAAGGCTACGTAATTCATGCAAGTAATCAATGGGAAAAATAATAGGGTGCATGAAAATGCAAGGTAGCCTCATCATACTCTTTTCCCTGATGATCCTGCATCAAATTATTACATGGGTTTAATGTAAGATATATATGCCTTCCCATGTGATCCTTAATTCAGTTCGTGTATGTCAGTATAACTAAGCAAGCTAAAAACAAACCAGGACATATACTTATTTGGAAACGTAAATGTCATAAAAGCTTTCATCGTAACGCTGTGATTTTACTTCGGAAGATAACCCTTTATGTGAAAAACTTAAAGGATTTACAGTTTTATGGTTAAAGGTATTACAAAGTTTTGGTATGGGGTCATGAATATGGTTCAAATTAACATATTGGAAGCATATGCGTTCCTACAATATACATTGATCGTTGTCGCGGTTGAAATCGAGTCTAAAGTTATGAAATTATAAATAATAAACTCTTTATGTTGTATAGCTCCCTCTCAAGGTCAAGATATTAATTTAGCTATGAAACAATGTTTCTTGACTGAAATCGACCGATTAGCTATTCCCGTTTGGAAATTATATATCCCAACTACATATTCTGAGATTTTCATGGTCGCAGCTATGATTGTACGGCCATAGGCGCTATTTGAAATTTATCAAAATTTACCGGGAGCACCGGTAAATTTTTATATTAAATTTTTCTTAAAAACAGAAGTGTTTTAGTGGCTAATTTTTTTAGTGATTATAGTACATCCACATGGGCATCCAAATATATCAAAATTGTAAAGATTCACTATCCACCCAATTTTCTAAATTTCCCAAAACTTTGTATTACCTTTAACCCATAGCAGTGAAAGGTCATCTTTGGTGATGTCTTATTTTCATCTTTTGATGCACAATAATTACAAATTATTCATGAGCAGAAAGAGGAAAAATCACAGAAATGTTAAAGTCTATTTTTCGTTGTTCCGTATTTTGAATAGAAGTGATTTAATTGTAACTAATCATTAAAGTCTCTAAATTAGCTACGAGGTGTAGAATATAAAATAACTATTTTCGTGTTTTTTTCTTTCACAATGGCTCATCATACTTACCGTATATTTTCATATTTTTCAAACTCTGAGGAAGTGGAATTTGTTTAATTAATGTTGCCGATCTGGGAAGGAAAGACATATTTGCAACTGTGCAGGAGATGCTTGTATGACCTTAAAAAAAATGTCTTCGCTTCACTATAGCACAAATTCAAAACTGGTGTATTGTGCATAATTAGACATGTTAAGATGTACTTACTAGGTAAGTATTCTCCCTCTCCCGTGTACAAGACTGCCTCCACACCGGAGTATCGTGAAATCACAGCACAGTGAGGTATTGTGTAAGTCACCGGTAACTTTAGGACTAAGTCATCACGGGCTAAACACTGTACACCAAAGCAGACTGACATCTCTTCTTTGCCGTTGCCAAGATTTGGAGTATTTGTCAGGACACGAAGAGAAATGTCCTGCGGCGCTTCGCTGTCAATTGCACCTGGAGGGATCTCAAGTTCAATTTCGAAGGAATCTAGCTGAAGCTTGCCACCTTCAACCCCAACTCTCTTACAACATTCCATCTGGATCGGTTTGACATTTACTTCATTTGGTACTGAAAATTATAAGAGATATTTCCATTAAATCCTTTCTGCAAACCCTCTGCAAACAATATTTAGAATACATAATTGTACTACAACATTCTAGCAAAATATCAAATATAGGTTAGAGAGCACTAAAGAGCAATGTCACTCTGAAGTATCCTTCTTATGTCAGGAATAAGTGTAAAAGAAGTATATTCTTACAGTTTTAAAGTTTTTATCTTTTAAAAGGCGTCTTTTTCAATTTCTTCTTTATAAGTGTGGCCTAGTTTAGATTCTACGTTCTGGAAAGATATAAGAATTGAGATTTACAATCTTTGAGATTTAGCAATTTACATGAATGATGATATATTTCAAATTAGGACTTAGAACAATATACTTTCTATCGATCTGTCATGAATATTGTTGTAATACAATGAAATAATAAAAGAAAAAAAAATTGTAATCTACCCTGTTTTCTGTCTTTTGCCGAACAATACAAAACTTGCTACTTGCTAGAACCACGCAGACACATCTCTGTTGGATAGGGCTGTATGTATTTACATCCACATTTTTACGTATGTATACATGAGCTTGTACTACTCTCGCTCTCATGTCGTTGAATCATTAATACATTAAGCATCAACCGGTAAAAAGTATTCAAATACTTTATTCTTTGTTTTGTGTCTCTGCCATGCCTGTGAATGAAATGGACATGAAACAACAGACAGCTCCAGGGAGACATTTATTTTTCTTTCCTTATTCACCAAATCAATTTCTGCTGATGTTGTTTAAAGCACAAAATTAACCTGTTCTATGGGGCAGGCTTTCCATGGCCATGTAATACTCTTCTTCCTCCTCCTCCTCTTCTTCTTCCTCAGCGTTCTGGGTGTCTGTCTGTTCTTCATGAACTTGAACCCTTGCTGTGGCTCGAACAAGCTCATCTGTAAGATACAATAAGTCAATAAGGGACTCTGAATAAAGATCCTTTTTGAGGCTACCAATATAATGGTTACACATTCTATTTTCCTATTAAAAATAAGAACAACTTAAAAAGTACACACAGTGCATTTGCATGTAATATGGTAGCAATAGCAATTCATATGAGTTATGCTATTTTTCAACTAAAAGGATTAAGCACAATTACCTTTGACCGATATGTCATGAATATTGTTGCAATATAATGACAACAAATAAGATGAAAGGAAGATATTGTCTTCTACCCAGACTTGCCCTGTTTAGTTGTCTTTCGCCAAGCAACACAAAACTTTCTTCTTGCTAGAACTTAACATGTGGGCCTATTCACACTAAGACACCTCTCTGTTCGAGAGCACTAGAGAGAGAATTTTTTTGTTCTTATTCTCCAAATCAATTTCTGCTGATATTGTCCAAGACACAACATTAACCTGTTTCATGGGGCAGGTTTTCCATGGCAATGTAATATTCCTCTTCTTTCTCCTTTTCTTCCTCCTCAGTATGCTGGGTGTCTGTCTTTTCTTCATGAACATGGACCCTTGCTGTGGCTCCGACAAGCTCACCAAGAAACAAATCTGTAGGGTGTAATCAGTCAATAATGGACTCAGAATATAGATCATTTTAATTTTAATGATTTCAAATTCTATTTTCTTATAAAACAACAATCAAGTTAAAAAGTATACACAGTTCATTTGCATGTAATATTGTAATGTTTATATTATACAGATATGCATCTGTATTTCAAATGTTGATTTTGTAACAAACATCTTGAGATTTTATGGATGAATCACGGTATTTAATACTAATATTTCATTTTTGGGGGTATAAATATTGTCTGTGTATATATCCGAACTAAAGGCTCATTTACATATGCCACGGTTTATTGCGGTGGCTTTTTGTGTACCCACCTGCTGGGTGTCCACGCAGGTTGGTTATCTTGACAGATAATGCTCAAACTGAAAATCATTGTTTTCTTTTAATATTAATTTTCATGATTCATTTAAAACTTATGTTGACAATATTCTTATCGGCAAATATTCACAGAACTACGTGTTAGTTGAGGCTTGTTTTTTGTGTGATTTCAATCCCAATGCAACTACTTCATCTTTGTTAAAGGGAAATCCAACCTTAAGGGCAAACAACTCTATTAGAAAGCAGAAGAGTCCGAGAAGCAATTGGTGAAAGTTTGAACGAAATCTGACAAAAAATAAGAAAATTATAATTTGTTTTAAAGTTGTAATTATAGGCTCTTCTAATTAGCTGAATCAATAAAGTCTCTGTGATGTAGTGGCGGACAGCCACCCATAAAGTGTTATCCAGCACTACGTCACTGTTTATTGTCGTGTGGTCTACAACCAGTTCGTCCACTACCCGATAAATCTATTCTCATATGGTCTAAACCTAGCCCATCTACTATCCGCATGGTCTAATAATCATTTCTTCTACTCATCATCTAATGTAATGACCATTTAGGCCAATTGGTCTAATCTCAAATAAGTCTACAACCCATTTGGTCTATTGCTCATTTAGTCTAATTTCCAGTTGGTCTAATTCCCAGTTTGTGTAATGCCCATTTCGTCTACTATATCCATAAGGTCTAATAACCATTTGATGATTCTAATTATTTATGATCAAATGATTATTAGACCATTTCTTCACCCTCCGTCACAATCCACTGACCGAACTGCCAATTTGAAATTGGCATAGACTAATTAGTGAACTCATATTTCAAACATTCATAATTTTCTTATTATTTGTCCAAACTCTTTCAAACTTTCGCCTTCTGTTTATTAAATTTTTCCGCTTTCATGCAAATTATTTTATGACAAGGATCGGATTGCCCTTTAGGTTTCTGAACATACCCCCCCCCCCCAAAAAAAAAAAAAAAAAAAAAAAAATGCTACTAATTATGGCGAGCGTGGATGAAACAGAAGCTTTTGCAACTGATGTATGGCACCGGTATGTGTTCCAGGCACAAAACTGTGAAGTGCAGATAAAAGAAACAAATATGTGGTAAACAGCTGCAGTATACCGCGGTATATGTGAACAAGCTTGTATAATCTTAATATAAACTCACCAATTGAAGAAGTTGGGGAGAGTGAGAAGTATGATGAGGAGAGTGACGACGATGGTGAGGTCTCCCTCTCCAGATTGAAACGCATCCATGTACCCTGATCAGAGTCTTCAAGTGATGCCTGACTTTCTTGTCCAACTGTGACCTTTACATTAGGACACATCTTTGAAAGTTTGTGGATGTCAGTTTGAGACAACAAACATTTCAAATTTAAGAACTTGAGTTCTTGAAGCGAACTCTTTCCCCCTGTGCTCTGCGGTGGATGACTGATAAACTGAGGAAAGTCAACCTTGCACCTGTTAAATGTCAGGACAGTAACTCCTTCGAGTTCATTGGACACAAGATGCATTAGGTCAACCATGGGTACAGCTGCTGATGCACCTTCAAGTTGTAGCTCACAACCTGAAGATGTTCGGGACCACTTAACAGAGGTAAGTTCTGCATCTCCTAGCTGCACCTTCTTTGCCTCAACAAGCCTCAAACGTGGACTTATCACATGAAATACATGTAATACATTCATTAATGTTTCAAATCGGCAGGAATCAAGATACCCAAAGGGTTCAAGATGGATGTTGGTCAGATTTGGCAATTTGCACGACTTTTCTAATGAAAATCCTCTAAAGCCTGATAACACCAGTGATACGATATTTGGACAGGAGGTAGAAATATCCATTAACAGGCTGTCTGTAGTTATATCATACCTCCCCTCATATCTTAATTTAAGCTCCTCTAAGGCTGATGATGAATAGACCTTATGAGAGTATGCTTTATCGGATGGAGAACCTAAATTCCCTATTTGCATATCTAGACTCTTTGCATTTGGAAACCAATTATTGACCTCCAATAGTGGCTCCTGGAGTGTTTTAAGCAACATCAGGGACTTAATGCAAACTGTGATGACAGATTTCATAGGCACAGGCATGTGCATAGGCATGGGGGTCAATGGAAGTAGACGTATCATGCGGAAATCAATGGAGAAATGCATCCCTTCCGGACACAATGGAGCCAGTATGGAGATGACATCTTGGAGGGAATGGTCATCCCTTAGTACAAGGTGAGCCTCATCCTCGGTGCTCGTCCACTTGACTACATGTACCAGTCCAGCATCACCCTTCATAACAGTGTCCAGCCCAGTTCTCTTGGCTGAATAAAAAAAGACAAATAAACAACCCATTTGTGTGGCCTCTCCCGGCCTATTCACATAAAAGTACACTAAACAGCATTATATAATATAAAATATAAAATAATATAAAATCTTGCGGTGAGGTATCGATATAAAAATGAATAACACCATCACATAAACTATCTAGCATATCCTTCTAGTTGATAAACACCCTTCATTCCATATAAAATGTTTACAAAAATGCTAACCTTAATTTTTAAAGGTAATTTGGAAAGACTATTTCAACAAGCACTATGAGAAATTAAATCTAAAATGGGGGGGGGGGGGGGGTGTTCAGATCAGTAGGCCTACTGTAAGAGTTAAAAGACCCCTTTAAATAATTTCTTTTATTTTTATTTTTATCCTGATCACAATAATGTCTCCATCAAGCACATGTGGTAAATTAAAAGACTTTATCAAATCTATCCAGATATTTTACTGAATTACTGAATGTTGTAGATTGACACTACATGTACTTTGTATGTACATGTAGATACCACATAGGGAATAATAGGAATTAAGTAACTTTGTGACTTGATGGCATCATGATAGCTTTAGCCATGTTATACAGTCTAATAACTATAACTATAAAAACGATAATAATAATAACAATCATCATCATACAAATAGCTATAACCATATGTATATGTCAGGGGATGCTCAAGGTGCCTAGAAAGTGAAGCACTGGAGCAAATAATAACTTCCTGTATGGTTTCCATTTACCACACTTGAGTGGAGAGTGGCAAATTTTTGATTAGTGTCTTTAGATTAGTGCCGCGACAGGACTTGATCCCTAAACCATGCAAACTATATCTTTTAGACCACAATACCTCTACGATGATGATCATGCAAACATGTACAGGTGTAATATGTCTTCATTTTGAACATTTGTTTTTGCTACAGGTACACAATTAAGGCTGGCATATTTTTATTCCAAATGTCCTAGCTACTGCCTACCGGGACCATTGAGCAAATGTTCATCCCCAAGTTAGCCGCCTTTATATGAACTAATTCAATATCTTATCACATGTGCTCCCTTATTTATTGTCTGAAAGGAGGTGAAAGTGGATAAATTCTTTATAAATGCTTCAATAGGCACATAATATATTTTTTAGGCAAAATAGATTATTTTTCGCATATTAAGACGAAATTCTTTTTTTTTTTAAAGAACATTTTGTAAACCAAATTGGGAGAAAAGGGAAAAAGGGAAATACAGTATGTCTGTTTAATAAAAAAAAAAAAAAATTCATTTGGTTTGCTACAACAACAAAAAAATGAGATGATTATAAAGCCATAACAATGCAATGCATGGTACATGTAAGGCTTTTTAAAGGGTTTCAACCTCATGATTTTCGCGTAATGATTTTGAATCTTATCTTATATCTATTCACATACCTTCGTAAGGTAGATGGTCAAGCCTATCAAGCAAAATCAGTCGTTGAGTCTGAAGTAGAACTTTTTTTAACCTCTTTGACTATGAAATGTAATAGGAAAACATAAAAAGCTCTCATAAGATATTTTATTACTTTACAAAGAGCTTACACCATAAATTGAAATGAATTGAAATTATAGAAACTACATTATTTTGTCAACTTTCTTTTGGATTATGCCAAGGCAGATGGGCTACAACAGCGTTTTTCAACCAATACAAAACACACAAAAAGGATCTCAAACATTTTAATGGAAGGCGTAGATGCCCATTGTGTATACGTTATTATCCATGACTTTCCTTGATGGGTTCATCACATCATATAGCATATCGTTTTTGAGTATTTGAGTACCGGTAGGTAAAATACATGATTTTTCACGCAAATGCATTTCCTATTTCCGATAGAAGATGCATTTCCTATTGGGCTGTTGTGAATAACCTCTGGGCGCCTGGGGGGGGGGGGGGGGGGTCTTCAGGTGCCCCCTACTTTGATTTCATATTGGTTGACATGACAAGTATTTTTAGTATAGCACACTTCTAAATGTCTTTAGAAATAAAATCATCTCAGTATAGTCTGATGCTCTTAAAATATTATGTTAAATTTGGTCCTTTAAATCAAATTTTGGGTACCTGATCTGATACATATTTGGCCATCACAACCTCATACCTACAATGTACCGTTGCATTTTGATATGGAAACAGATTTTCTGTGCTCCCATTACCTCGGAAATTAGTTTCAAGCAGTCCTCTACTTTTGTGAGTAGCCGTACCAGGATAATCAACCCCTGGAAAATTACCCCCCGGAAAACTCACCCCTAGGACAATTACCCCTATACCCCTGAAAATTAAATTTGCTTTTCTTTGGAGGTGTTTAGATATGCCTACATATGGACATAGGAAGATACAAAGAATCACATTTTCTTTAGCATACCAACAGAATAAATGGACTTGGGCAACAATGATCGATGGGTAGTTATGCATACAACCCTTGTGTGATTGTAATGTTTCTTTTCTAGATCTGTGAATTAGCTTGATATATGAAAAAAGTTGAGGAAGGATTTAAAGGCATTTATAAAGCTTGTGATTGAAAAATATATTGTTTCTCCCCCCCCCCCCCCACAGAGGGGATATTGAAGGTTTGAGGAATTCATATTGCTCCGATTGTCTCATTTTCGCTCGCGTGAACATTGCCAGCACAAACCACTGACCTCTGCCTCCTGAACGGATCATCGCCCATTCCATTCACTATACGTTACGTACTATAAAGGCTGCATTGTCTGACCGTTCATGAATATTCATGTTTTTGCTAAACTCGGCAAAATGTTTGCTTTTACTAAATGGAAAAATTACGGTGGGGGGTTGGATGAAATGGACATAATGAAATAGGCAGAAGTGATCTATGATAATTCATGCTTTTTATGTTTCGTGTGCTCGACCTATAACCTTCAAATCGCTTGGTAAACTGAGTCCAAAGTTAAACTTGTTTCACACGTGTATTATAGGCAATGACGAGCTTGCAACCTATTTTGAAAAATTACGGTGGGTGAACTTTCAAAAGTCAATGAGACATGAGGGCTCCAATGAAAGAGCTAGTGATAACGTACGTCGGGGTGGATGTGCTTTTCGTTTAAACAAAAATGAATTTTTAAAGATTTTTTAAAAAAACGTCCATAGGCTAACATGTTAGGCTGCCGACTCAGATCATGCTCTGACGATAGGGGGCGTTGTGAAATGAGACTAACCGGAGCCATATGAGTGTTTTGAAATATGAACCTTCAGAAGAATAAATCTTTGGTAAGACAAGTAACCCCCATACGATCATATATCTAAACATTGTGCCGGGTATCTACCTACGCAATGATCGATGGCTACAATTATGCATACAAACCTGTTTTCTGCAGATGTGTAAAGAGACAACTCTGGGTAGGCTGGCTTGATCATTTAAAAAGAGTTGGGAGGGATTCAAGATCATTTATAAAGCATGTGATCCAACGAGGATAGTATGACCCCAAAGAGGCTCATTTGATGTAATTCCCACCCCCACCCCCTTGGATATTAAAGGTATGGGAAATTTGTATTTTGGATTATATGAACCAACAGAAAAAAAAATATTCAGAAAAATGAGTAACTCCAATATTATCATGTTTTGTTGGAGCTTGTTCCTCCAGCCTTATTGACTAAGAGTGACTTATATTAAAGGAATGGACAACATCATCGCCGATAAGCTTTCTAAGGCATAGGCATATCTACTGAACAGATGTAAGTTGTAAAACACCATGAAACAGGCCCTGATCTACCCATTATACGAGATTTATTGAATAAAGAATATAAGGGTATTGTAACAAACTCTTCAAAATACTAAAGAGCTTTGAGTGTTATCAAGTGACATAGTGTGCACTGACATAACAGTAGGAAATATAAAACTGAAACATGAAAGTGCTGCAAGGTGGGGGGGGGGGCATTGACATTGACAAAGAGATCTCAGCTATGGTTAGCGATATGAA